GGAACCTAACACAACGAAAAGTTTCGAACAGCTTCGAGGGGTGTATTCAAAATCTTCCAAGACAGCGTGGGAGATATTTGAATAATGGAACTTTGAAGGATTGTTAAGAGGGATCCTTCTACGCGAAAACGAAGGGGTTTTCTGGGCCTAAAGGCGTACAAGAAGTTGTCACGTGCTGAGCGTGGACAATGATCCCTTCGAAACAGACTTCATGATCGTATTCAAGGTTTTATGTACACAGGCCCCTCCCCTTAAAAGCTCAGCAAATACGTTAAAAGTCGTAGAAAAATGTTTTAGGTCCCCCAGCTGTGTTAAGATCGTAGAACGCCATATTACTGACCTTGAATTTTATCCTTGAATTCTATGTCGGGCCTGCCATGTAAAATCGTGCTGATACTGTAATGGAGGGGAGTTAAGTGGTAGATGCGAAATGGAACGCGAGAGGCCGGTTTGTCATATGTGCTTATAACAGTGTATGATGGTCAGGTTTAGATTAGTTCACATCACAACAAGGAAGCGAGGGTCCTGTGTAACAGTCACAGGAGATGTCCGCGATGTGGCGTGCGCGGGGACAGGTGTGAAGCGAGCAGAGTGCTTTTCCGAGCGTGCGGAGATGCCGTACTTAGAATCATAGTCTTAAGAAACCGGAAGATCGCCCAGGAAATTAACTCGGGCCTGGCGTGCGGGGGCGAGTGTGCGCGGGCTGCGTATAGGCATGCTAACGACGGTTTGAAGGTGCTGGCAAAAGAGATCAGAACTTGATGTAATTGAATTTATGCTCTAGTTAAGATTTGTTTTTGTTCTAGTATTTTGAAGATAAGGAAATCATATATACATCAGGTTGTTATTTCTTAGACAGCATAGGCGAATTTGAAGATCTTACCCATGTGATAATTGGATGCGGCTTTTCAGTGAGCAATTACTCTGCCTAGCTTGCCGTTATTTTAAGCCTAGTCCTGTGCTATCAATTACGCTCTCAGGCTCCGTCATGCATAGTTAGATATCGATGGTCATTACATGAAATCAATAGAAAACATGCGACGCTACTCGTGCAGAATAAACATAGGTTCTCATTAACATATCTCGGTCGTATTAGTGTAAACTTCGTTTTTACTCTTTTCCTTTAATAAGATAACAAACTGTTGCTAAGATCATTAAAAAATGAACCAATATCGGCTTTGAGATTTTATTGCCATCACTTGAAAGATGAAATGGTCTCAGCAGCAAATTACTTATAAAATTTTTATAATGCATTCAGACCTCGAGAGCATAACTTGAAATAAATATGAGTTTTTGAAGCATTTGTGGTATATGAAACCCTTGTTCTTACGGACTAAAAGAGTGATATACGTTGTGCTAACCGAGGTTGAGTGGATTCGTTTCTTTAGTGGCATTTCCTTAGGATGTGTCTATGGAAAATAGCCACATACATGGTTGTGGAATAATATGCCCGTTTGCATTTTTTAAGTTAGAAATAGGCAAGAAATAACGATGTTTGTAGCAGCTCAGTCATTGCCCAACTTTCTTATATGTCGGGTTGCAAGGGCTGTTCTACGAAGGTGCCACACTTGATTTTTTATACCGTCAATTCCGCTTGTAGTCACTCCACTTATTGCCACTCCACTTGTAGTCACACTACCGGTTACAGGTACATAAAATTTAGACCCGAATTCGCAAAACTCTGCAATATTAATCCATTTACAGTCACACTCCGCTTACTGTCACAAATTTTTTAGCAACTTTCGTAGTGACTTTTACCGGAGTCTTCTTTAATGGGTACAAGTTCACAAAATACATCATAGTTAAAGATACGGAGGGTTGGGAATGGGGCTTTACAAAAACAAACGTGAATCCGAAAACAGTAAACGCTTAAGCATGAAGCTGAAAGCAATTGGAATTTGAAGTTAGCAAGTAGCAACTGTAAAATATCTACTGCCTGAAAGTTATTTCCGTTGCACATGCAACTTCCTTTTTTCCTGTCATTTACTTAGTGATGTGAGGGCTTGGTTACTAGCCAAAAATCAAGTTTATTTTTCTAATTCTTCAACGTTAGCGACTACATTTTCAACACAATTCCTGAAAAATTTCATTTACCTTCGGTATTAGATGGTTGTTATTAAAAGATATAATTTTTTTTAAAATTCGTCCATTGTCTACAATTTTTCGGCATCGTTTGTCCAACACTGTAGACAAATCAATAATTACAAAGGTTGCATTTTCCCCTTAAAAAGCTTTCTTAAAAAAACCCGCCAAGTAACTATTTTTGTTCTATGCGGTTCATCTATCACTGATCTCACTGTCAAGCTCTCACGTGAATTTCATTTTTAGCCTGTGTTTGGGCTGCTGCAATCAAATATATTAACACATCCTCCAATATTTTGTAAACTTTGCCATCTTGATTGCTGTGCTAATCATTAAATTACCGATGGTATTGATTCGCCTAATTTCATTAACATTTATCGTATTGATTAATGTTTTAAGATTCCTAAATGAATACGCCCGGAGAAAGCTCGTCATATATAAATTAGAGTCAGCGGTCCCTTTGAACACGCTTTTTCGTATTAGTTTCATATCTTTAATAAATTAGCTTTGGTTATAGTGCGTTAAATTTTGTCCGCTACCACAATAACGGGCAAAGTGTGAAATTTTTCTTCCTTATTTGAACGGTAATTTTTAGGAAAACAATTTATTTAGCTTCAAGTTTTCAAGACTTTTTAATACATGCATGAAAAAGTATTAAATTTCCATTTGCACCTGGCCTGCTGCTGCACTAAATATAGCGCCAAATTTTGCTTTTGTTCTAGTGTTTTTTTCCTTCAGTGTTTCCATTCCCTCAGTTTTCTTCAAATTTCTTTCTTTGGACTGCTATCTTCTTAGCAAATTTAGTCCTTTTCATAAATTGAAAACGCAAAAAAAATTGTTGCAAAAATTTTTTATATGAATGTAAGTAACCAATCTTTACACAATCATCGAACTTTGAAAGGTAAAATAATTATGAAATTGTCGTGGACGATAGTCTACTTTCTAAATTACTACCTGCTTGCTTACTAATCTACTTACTTGCTGGTCATCAATGGCATACTGTTTGGAAATTGTGATTCTTGGCAGAAGTACTTTTATTTTAAACTATTTTACACTGAAGTTTATAAACTTCTTTCTAAATTGAAATCATAATCTAGAAAAAACAATCTAACTCCAATTTCGTTATCAATCTATTACTATTTCAGAATTGTCACTCTTAGTAACTTCTCCAAAATATCACAGAAACAATTCTTCAAAGGATCAATATTTGATTTCAATACTCCTGATTTAAGTACTCCTATAGATAAGCCAAAAAGGTTATCACACTTTTCTCCTTGCTCTATATACAGCCACTTTTTCCATAATCAGACTGTATATTCACATTGAGTACTTTGCCTACCAAGTCCGATGTATTCATACTGTTATACTAAATATTCAGAAACGTTAATTGCTGTTGATCATCATAGTTGTGGATAATTGCAGTTATTAAAGAGGAATTTTGAATTCCTGACGCCATTACTATTTCCTTTCCATAGATCGAAGAGATTATCAACGAAAGACTTCATAGTGTTGATTTTTACGATATCAACAAGGTAAACGTCTTTGTTATTATGAAATCAATCAATTAATTGTCGTCATTTCTCTATTTCTGGCTATAACACTTTGTGTTGGTCATTAACAAAATATTTTATGGTTTTGTTATTTTTTATGGTCGGGCACAATAATTGTAGTCTGTTTATTGAATAGTTCCTGAACGTATTACATACTTAATTTTCTTCATTTAACAAAACTAAAGAGAAACATCAACGAAGTGTTCTACCAGTAATCCACCCTTCCAGTTTTGGAGATAATCTATTCATATTACTAGATAAGACACCAAAATATACAGCCTAGATGTTGAAGTAGCCTAAACGGTTTTTTAGATCCACATCTAGCAGAAGTATTTACTAGATACAACAGGAAATTAAAATCAAAAGAAGACGTTGCTTGTTTTCTTAGATAATGAAATGCCTAATATATTTGAGCAGAAGCATTGTAATAGACAGCTGTAATGGCAAGATGGTTTATGAATTGTAGTTTTTAGAAGATGACTTCCTCTTAAACCGCTCGTCACAGTCACAATCCATAGATTTTTTTCCTCTGACTTTTAATGCCCTTATCATTGCTCATACTTTTGTTGGTTTTCTTTGGAGATCTTTTCTTCATCAATATTTAAAGAGAGAGTTTTTCTATGCATACACTTACCAGAAAATTAATCAAGTTTTTCTAATGCACCGCTACTTGTTCTCTATATATCTTACACTAAATTTGTTTTCTTCAACCTATCAACAATATTTTCTATTAAAAAATTTATTTGCAGGTTTTCCAATTGGTTTTCTGTTGACTTCGTCGTCAGTGCTTCCACTACAAAGCAACTTTGTAGTCTTTTACGTCATGTTTCAAAATGTTTTATTCCAGCAGTTCAGTCAACTCTATCTGCACGTCCGTTTTCTTCATTTTTTCTTTAGAATGAAATATAAAGAATTATCTAACATATGTTAGAGCTGCATTTAATTTTTTCTATGCTTTCATATCTTTTATTTTCTTATGATAACTTTCATGATCTTTTCTTAAACCATGTCATTTTTTTCTGATGGGCATAATTAAACAGCTGGAAGAAATAGATTTTAGTACAATTTTCAGGCTTTTGGCTCTCAAACATCATATGAATTTCGGACTTTTTATTTCTACAGCATTATTAACATTTACTGAATAACTTAAATCGTTGCTAGACAGTCTTGATGTTTAAGAGGCACAATGTCACACTAGTCACAACCTAACCAATCATTAAGCTTTTAAAAGTTTTATGGCATCTCCATCCTTCCATCTAAATTCAGGCATATACCTCCACAAAAATATAGTTGAAACAAAGGTTTACCTCATGCAAATAATTTAAGTCTATTGCAGAATTTAGTCCTTACACACTTGCACACCAACTGCAGTTACACTTCAATTCATTACTGCAGTTGCACTTCAATTCATCTATCACCCTCATAGGGATGTGTAGGAACTTATAAGAAGCCTCTTTCCTGCAGGTATCTTAAGGGTAAAATATTGGTTTATTCTTCAGTGGATAGTTTATGGATTCTTGACCCATTTACCCGCCCCAGAGCCCCAAAATTCTTCAGTTAAGTGAAAAAACGAAATCGGTATAGGAACAATCGTTAAAAATTCACGTTGAAAATTCTCAAATGCCTTGAAACTTCGTAGCATACTCTTTCCTAGCAATGCCTCTTTGGTAGTGGGTGTAATATTTCAGTGATTTATCCGAAGTAAACCTGAATAAACATTGAAATATCGTGTTATTGCTGATCTATTTTTCACCTTTTGTAGTTTCTTCAATCTACGACTAGACGAAAAGCAAATAGAATGTCTGTTGTGATCTTCTGTTGTGCAATGATCGGTGGCTGCATTTACGAGGTAACGCGACAGTTCTTGCAGGAGAACAGTATTTAACAAACACTCCATATTGCCTTGATTGACGAGAATAAGCAAACGACGCGCTGTTTGTGCAAAGCGAATGTGTTTATCAACCTGGTCACATCTTAGTGGAAGTAAGCGCCAAATAAAAGTTGTTTGCTAGCAATATGATGGCTTATTTATGAACCGCTTCATTACTTAAGACATTTATAGGGATTATTCTAAGTAATTGGTCAGAGTTTTAATTAGAATATTATTTATGGACTGTATAGTTGTGAAGAGTCATTTTCTATTTTTGTAAAAGTTTCTATTTCTTGAATGTCATAGAACAACAGAAAAACAGGAAAACGAAACATTTTTTTAAGATATTGTAATTCTTTCCATTTAAAGTGTGTTTTCAGTTTTAATTTATCTTTGTGATTTAACAACTAAAACAATTTTTAGCGTTTACGATTTGATATCTTTTCCTTTGATATCTTAGCCTGTGCTTCTGCTTCACACTCTTTTTATATTCTACAATCTTTTACAAAAACTAGATTATTTTGCCGATTTTCCAATTTTTGGTAGAATTTCCGGCTCAGATGTTTTTCAACACGGATTCTTTTACTGTAGTTTACCCTGGTTACCAGAGACAAAAAAATCGAGCGCAAAAATTGATAGATGAATGTTTTGTTTAAATGTTTTAGTACAAGGTTAAAAAGCTGAAAAGGTCTTTTCTGTTTTGTTAACGTTGTTGTAAATTTTAAAAGAAACGTATTTTTCATTTAATTTTCCATCTAAGGAATGACATGTTCTTACGTTGTTCTTAATTTTTTCGCAAAACGCTCATCGGTGCCCTTATGAGAAGTGTTCTTGTAAAGAATGCGGAGTTTTTCCTTTTTCTATTTCGTTTTTCTGAAGCAGCTTTGTCATTGGTGGTATGGTATATGATTTGATAGGGGCACAACCCCACGAGCTTAAGGCAAACAAAATAGTCAGGTTGCCTTTTTGGCAAATAATGTTGCATTTGTTTTGCTCCTTCATCAAGCAATATTTAGTTAAGTTAATGTTAGATGAATGAATTATCACTGTTTTCCTCGAGGGGCAAATCACTCCAAGAAAATCTCGTACACCTTTTGTGAAAATCCTATTGTTTTATCCGGAAATCCCAGGAAATCCTTTTGTTTTAGGGAAAATCTCGTACGCTATTTGCAAAAGTGAATTGCCCCTCGGTTTTCCTTGCGTTCTGTGTCGCTGTCGACTGCTTGACTTGAATAGAACCTGGAAAAACCATATAAAGAAAAACGGAGGAGTGACAGTTAGCTAACCAAGAAAGACCAGAAGTTGCCAGCGATATATTATAAACTACGCTCAAATTTGCTAGCTCAAGTTTGCTTTAAGGGGATTTCAAGCAAAAGCTTCCCATATCGGACTTGCAATTACACTGAGGTATCTGTATGGGTGGCAAGTAGAACCAACGACACACGAGTTCTACACATAGGTGATTCGATTTACCAGGTATTGAGACATTTCATGATTGTTTGATGAATTATTGTTGTTATTGATAAAAGGCCTATGTGTATCGATCTTATTTTAATGTGACATATTTTCTTAATATCTACATGTTTGGCGAGGACGTGAACTCTGTACTTATTCAGAGATTCAAAGACATCATGCATGATTTTACGACAGTTAAGAAGTGGTTGCCCAGGTTTGTCTAATATTTTTTGAATATTTGGCTAAAATGATTGAAGATATCTGACGTTGTTCTATCGCAACTCTCGTTTGCCGTCGCTAACTGTCGTTTACTGTCGTTTACTGTCGTTTACTTTTGTGTAACTTGCATTTACTATTGTTTTCCACAGCCCTATTAAAAGACATCTGAAAGAGCTTCTTCAAGTAAAACGTATGACTTTATTGTTTGACTTCTTATTAAGCAAAAATTTTACAGAATTCGTTATACATTCATGGGTAGAATTAGCTGACAGTGATTTTTGGCAAAGCATAATGAAGTTCCACAGTGTAGCTTCAAAATATCTAAATTTCAAACACTACATGTTTTAGTCAGATGTTAACATTGTGAAGCAGGGCAGTTTGGACCAATCAAGAGTAAACCTAATCCGAAATTAATTATAATAATCAGCTATGCATTTACAGCTCCGAATAAGCCGCTTCGAGGTCTATGCAACATAAAATTAGTTTATGATAATTATTTCTTTCATAAACGTGGAAAACACAAAACCTATATGTATATCGCGTGTCTTTGGGTATTTCACTCCGACAAAATATGAACTAAAGCCTCGTGATTTCACAGCACACTTTGTGACTCGTGTTTAAAAATGAAATTTTAAAAGCCTTAAAGCTTGTACAGAAATACGTTATATAGGGTAGGGACTCAAAGATCGTATTTCTAGAGTCTAACATTTCCTTACCATTTGGTAGATCACGAAAACAATCCGCAAACCTGTATAGAAAAAGCCGCAAAATCGGCATTGTTTTGAAATTTTAATGACTACGAGTGCTGCTTGGAATTAAGTTGTTAACAGTGTCACTGAACTATAAAAGAATTTGACTAAGAGGATGAAATGTCATTTTAATTAAAATTGGAGTTCGATTGCATAATGGAATAGCTCCGAAAATGACTCAGAATGGCCTTGTTCTTTAATTGTGGTTTTAGTTTTATTCTGAAAAGGCAAGCAGTATTCTTCGGATGTAAATCTAGGAATGCGGTGAGATCATAGCAACTGGCTTTTCTGACGCAAAAATAACCATTAACTTAATTTATCGAGCGCAGATGTGCTGCAAATTAGTCTTATGTTAGGTTATTCTACATAGTTTCTTAATATTCTAATTCCTATTATTGGAAATATTGGAAATATAACATGCTTTCAACATCATCTGTAAACTGATAAGGTAAGGGCCTGCTTTTAAATAAGGTATCCACTCGGGTATTGATTCTTGAAGATGCGCTTACAGGTCATCAGTTGCTTGTTTAGAACGGAAAGTTTTCGCAAACGCTTTTTCGAATACATTAAAGTCGAAGCATTTTGCTGTGTTTGCAATGTCTTAACGAACAGTACAGAAAGTACAACGAATGAATATACAAAGCTTGGTCATTTATGAGACGTGCATCTCATCAAAACGTCATTAAGCGCCAAATCTTAAATGTTTGAATATGCTTTTAAAAAAGGATGTGTGTCTGCGTTTGACACCAAAGAAAGAAAAGATGGCCGGAGGCTCTCTGTGCCGAATCGCAACGTGACTCACGTTTTTCGAATCTTGGTGCGGTTTCGCTGTGATATCATCAACTTCATTTGGTGATAACTCTGTTGAATTATGCAAAAATGCATGTTTTTGTAAATTTTCATGATTTGATGGAGAAAAGCTCCTCAATGTGTTAATTCTTCTTCCTTTCCCTGCTGTTTTCGAGACTTCTTTTCTGGAGTTTTTTTTGCTAACACTGTTGGTAGAGTCTCTACAGTGAATTCCCTCGGATTTTATTCGTTTTTATGGTAATCTACCAATCTGCAATGCATGAGAGAATCCTTTAAACTAATGAGCTTGCAGGAAAACAACTCGTGTAAACATCTTAGATTCCGCTTAGGTTGTGCTTGGTGCGTAGAACTGTACGGTTCTTTGTTACAACTGAAAGTTTCATGCTTGATTTTATTACCAGGCATATTGTGTTCAGGTTATAAGAGAAATGGTAGTTGCATATGCAGCTAAATGTAATGCTCAACTCATCTTCAGCAAAGATTGCAAGCTGTATTTTAACAATTGTGGATAGCTTTTGGTTGGTTTTGGTTTAAAAACTGTTAACCAGAGTTTATTTTAAGGAATTTTTATCACGGCACATATTCAAAAAATTTTAAAATTTGGGTGTCACCTTTTGAAAATTTTTATGATCCCACCCATCAAACTAACTGGATTATGAAAGGTCTCGATAGGTTTTAGATACTGAACAAATTTCAAAGAGATTTCATAGATTGTGATCACTGCTACTGTTATTTTAATATTGTAATGCTCTTTTATAAGCTATATTTTGCTTTTTTAATGCAAAAATCTCTTTATTTTCGATTTATCACTGGACAATAACGATTTATCACTGCACAAGTTGGGTATCACTGCACGTTAAAATAAACTCTGCCTTTAACAATATTAAATTATCGCAAAAACAATTACAAAATAGAGTATTTACATGATTTATTAATTTGTAAGAATTTCAGTAAGAATTTGCACTAATAGAACTCCTTTTATTTGATACCATGATTGGGTTGCTGATCAAGAGAAATGCCTTTATTTGACTTTATAAATAACTGCTAAAAACCCTTCACTTGATAAGGATGGCCTTTTTCTTTTCCCAATCTTTATTCCTTTAAGAATTTATCTCCTTGCACAACTCCATGTTGCTAATTTGCTTTCACTTTTCTCCACTGTTGCCTCAGCCCTTGTTTTACATAGATGACTCTGTCAAAGTGACTGAGTCAGACCAGTGATTTGGATTTCCTGCTTAGCACTCGCCTAAGAATAAATTTTAATGCTGTGATATCCTTATTTTCTTTACTATGCTAGTATGATCTCTAAATCTCAATTCTTCTCTCGAGTATCTTTTTTATAGATCTGATTCAAAATCACCATTTCGATGTAATAGCTGGCGAGTTTCCTTAAACTGTCAAATTGAGTTTTTCATCCGTGTAATTTGGGTTGAAAATTCGAAGTTTTAAAACTGTTATGTGTATTAGTACCAGGTGTAGATTATTTTGCATTCGGAGAGGTGCTAGCAAGAGAAAGTAACATAGCGGTAGACCCGCAGCTTTTTCTTCGTTAATTTGAGAATCTGAGATTAAAAGTTTGTTTCTATTTGTTCTCAAAATAATGTATTTTTAAAAATAGATGATAACCTGATTCAGTTCGAATCTTAGAGGCCGCAGTATTTCGCAAAGTATTTGCATTTTGTTCATGTTGCTTTATCAAGCAATCTAAGGGCAGATTTGGTAAATAAGAATCTCCCTCAACTTCAGAATTTTGTTGCTTTTTATACAATCTTTGAACGTATCAGCAAACATTAACAAGATTCAGAATATCCAATGATCGCAAGTGGTTATACGTTCATTTGAATACAGATTTCTATAAAATACGAAGGTTGATAACCTTGATAGCAGCATTTCAATTGAGCGAACATTATTTCTATGTAAATGTGCTTCTTAACAACGTGTTCTTTTCAAAACAACGTCTTTGATCATCTTACCGACCCTGGTTTTATTCTCATTGGCTAATGTATTCGTTTTTGTGCTAAGAACCGACCATTGTCAAGATATATTCAAGATATATCAATAAAAGTCGCCTTGATTTCGGAGCATTCTGCTGTCAAGTGGCTGCATTCTTGGTAGTTGTTTTGTTAACTTTCACATAATATCCCTTCCCGTAGCTTTCTCAACACACGTTATAGGGTACCTCCAGGAAGCAGAAGGATTGTCATTCTATTTTTGTTAGCGTGAAACCGTTTGCCAATTTT